CCTTGAACCAATGTTCTTTTTCTTGTTCTATAATCTTTTGTTCGATTTTGCTTTGTTTACAATTATTTTTTTCTTCTAATCTCAAAGTTTTTTTTCTTCTTTCAATATTTTCCATTCATCTAAAATTTCCTTCCGAGGTAGAAAATCTTCAAACTCTGATTTAACATGTTCAATGATATATGCATTACTGATGTTTTTGTTTCTACTTTGTACCATATCATTTTTAAAATCCTCAATGTCCCAACCAAATGCCAACTCTCTAATCATATCTTGGTTTAATTCTTTTGACCAATGTATCTTCCATCTTTTGAAACTTCTCGGATTCTCTTTTGGAAAATCTTCCGTGAACGATCTTCTAAATACATTTCTTGCACAAATAATTCTTTTTAGTATACAAGGTCGTATTAAGTAAATCTTCTTTAAGATGTTAAACTCTAGAAAAATCTTTGGAGATATTATCCACTCTGAACGAATTATCAGCATGAATTTGAAATCTTTTGGCGTCGTAATAATGATGGAATCCTGTAATTGCCAGTATGGGATCCCACCTTCTGGCAGGTAATGCACGTCTGTAACCCGGAATTTTGATGTAATCATTTAGCTTTTTGATCTCATCCTATGTTAAATTGTATAATAATTATAAAAAAAAAAATTAAGTTGGGACATATAATATATTTTTTATTGATTACCTCAAATTCGCTAGTAGCCCCGGTCATTCCAATTGATTTTTTTGAAGCTTTAATAATGTAAAAACAAGGTGTCTTTGCCCACTTAGCTTTCATTATTAACAATTCGAATAAAAGATTTGTTAAGAAATTGAAAATATATCGAAATAGCATTTTTATCTGTAAAGTGATACAGCTTGTAATCAGGTGATTTATACTCCTTAAATGCATTGGGTTTTCTATTTATAACGATAATAAAAGTAAAGTAGGGATGTTAAGTGGTCCGGCAGGAACTAGTTCGGGGCTGGTCCAGGGCCAGGACCACTCAGAACCGGTCCGAACTAGTTAAAAATCACATGATATAAATGAGTGTCATTTTTGACACATCGAATAAAAATAAATCAAGAAAGACACTTTTTTATTGTAATAATTTTACAGAGGTATTTCATCACTAATCGGGTGATTAATAGTACTCCGATTAGTGAATTTTAAATACGGAAATTAGTAAATGTCTTATGATTGTGATGGTCTTTAGTTTTTCTTTCAATTTTTGGTAAATCAACAATAATTTAAATTATAATGATTTGAATCTTAAATCAATAATGACTTGAATCTTAAATCAATAATGACTTGAATCTTAAAGAAATATGATTTGAATAGGATTTTGGCAATGAGAATTAGTGTGAAAAAGGATGAACAAAAGTGATAACTTAATATTAAAAATAAGTTAAAGTAGCAATACGATGGAAATAATATGAAAAAGATGAAATCAAAAAAATATTTATTTATAACATAAAAAATAAACCAATACTGTAATGAGATGGGAAAGGTAATGCTAATAAAACAAATGTTGGTTATTACTATTTTATAGAATCATAGAATTATTTAATTAAGAATGATCATGACAATTTCATCAAGTCTTTATCTAAACAATTATTTAATATTTATAATAAAGTCTTTTAAAAAAAAAAAAATTATTTATGATACTGTAATACAATTGCAGTACAAAAAAAAAAAATTCTAATTCTAAACTCTCTTTGTCTCTTCTTATTGATAATTGTATAATATATTTATTTAGTTACTATATGATTTTTTTTAATATAAAAGTATGCTTATAAAACTTTAAAAAAAAAAAAAAAAACTTCTTTCTCAAAAAAAAAAAAAAGTAAAAAAAAAATGACTACCTAATCAGCTATATGTTTTTTAATCAAAACTTTGAATTCAATAACCAAATATCTTGTAATCAAGACTTTAAATCTAATTATATACTTACTTATAATATACTTATTTTTTAAGTATAGATTTTTTAAATAATTAAATAAATAATTCTAGTAATAATTCTAATATTGAAAAACTGAACCAAATTTTTAAATAATATAAAAGTACGAATTTCTTTTGAAAATATTTTAATTAGTTCTTCTCTGATAAAGACTATATTTATTATAGCCTATATAATACTAGGTATAGAATTAGAACTAGTATTAGTACTATCAAATAGCATTTTGAAAATAACTTTATATACAAATACTAATAATACTTTTTTTTTTTTTTTTTACTTAGGCGATCTTGCCCTTCATTTTATTAAAAGATATACTAAATAAGTACAAAGACAAATACAGAAAATTAAAACTATTTAATTCTAAGACTACTCTCTTCTTTGCAATTCCAGACTCACTCGACTGCCTAATTGGTGCCCAAATACGATCTGCCATAGTAGCAAATTTTCCTCCTAGAACAATGTGCATACTAAAGTATACAACCTTAATTCTGATCAAAAGAAGGCTACTACCAGCTATATCAAAAAAGCCTAGTTATTTGTTTTTGAATTTTAACTATTCCGCATATTCCTCTTTTTGGATCTAATTTTTCACTTTGTTATTTGCTGATATAAGTATTCTTTTTTCTTTATTAGATCTTGATTCTTTCTTTGAGGCATTTGTATCTGAAATGTTTTCTTTATCTGTTATTCCTTTTCTTTTCCCTTTACTATGTCTACTCTTTTTCTTTCAGCGATCAATTCCTTTCCCTTTTTCCCATTCTATCATAACTTCACAACAGAATTTCCACAGTCTTTCATAAAAATTTGACCAAAAAGAATTGATAAACCAAATCACTACCTAATTTGCTTTAGATCTAGATACCAAAAAGTCTATTAATTCTTTGATACGTTTCTTGTTAGTTAGACCCTGAAGATGCAGCTTTCTTCTTAGGATCTTCTCCTCAGATAAAGCACCTAAAAAGATCTCAGCTAGGTTTTCACTTTTTATTGAAAGATCCTACTTTTCTAAGATTTCATATTCAACTTCTTCTATAATTATTGTTTCTATATGCCTCCAAATTCCTTAATATACCACACATCAAATACTAATAATACTAACAGATATCATCTCTATAAACTATTAAATATTATAGTATTTATGATAAAAAAAAAGTTACTAAATTAAATAGACTTCTAGTCTATTAGATTATTTGTAACTAATAAGTATTCTATATTATAGAAGATATGAGACCTTTCAAATATTTGTCTTTGAACTTAATTCTCAGTATAAACTTTTTACAAGATAAATAATTTCAGTTTATATTAGATAATTATATAAACTAGAATGAAAAAAGCTATGTAATTATTTTAAAAATTTTGGATATAAGGTTTTAATAATAATCAATACATAGTTTGCATATACAAACTAAGTATTCTTTGCAATTATATTGTACTAAATTAATAAAGATTAGCAGTTATGATGTATACTTCTTGACTTCATCTTTTTTTATGAACAATTTATAAGTTGATATTATTAAAATCTAAAAAAAAAGAAATTTAAATTAGTTATTAAAATTTTAATTACATTTTTTTGTCTATATAACTATAGGTTTACTCCTAGTAGAAACAATTTTTAAAATAATCAAGAAGTATGGTCTAAAAAAAAACTTTTATTAGTAACTACTAACAATACTAAAAATATTAATGCTTGTTGCAGAAGTCTGACTAATATATTAGAATTTTATTATAGAAATACTACTTTCTGTAGATTATAATATACTACTCATAGATCTGGTGATTTTAGTGTAGTAGTTAGGTTGCCAGACTGCTATGCAAGAGGTCTGGGGTTCAAATCCTACTGTCGACAAATTTGAATAATTACTCAGACCTTTGTATCCAACTTACAGTAAACCCTGTTCGTTTCTAGAGTTGTAACTCTGTAAATTACATTGCACCAATATCATTCAGATATTAGAAGTGTGACAGAATATTCGGAGAGTGTAATATTATATAAATAAATCTTGATAGGATCTATGGGCAGGAGACCTGCATAGTAGAAATCCTGAGTTAGTGAAGTAGTACAGCTTTCAACAGTCATACCAGCTAATGCTTGATCCAGAAAAGAAACTATCATTAAAAGATGCTGATCGAATCAGGTGCGCATAAATCTATTCTATAGGAAGGATCAGTAACACTAATCTAGCTTGGCGGCTAACTGAATTAAGAGAATCTGCCTCATAAACATTCGAGAAGATAGACACAGAAATCTGGTGGAGAGCCACGGTAGGAACTGGGGTTGTATGAATATCTGCAAAGGTCTAATCTAGGTGAATCTGTGAAATGGGCACAGACTACTCTAGTAAGATTGCTTATGAGGTTAACCAGAGCTCTGTGTGCCACAATATGTTGAGCAATATGCATCCTGAGAGGACCTAAGCTGAGTTAGGTAAATAGATCTGCAATGAGCTAGCTGGCTTAAGCAGTTAGGTATTACAGTAACATTAGTTAATTCCAGTATTGGTTAGGTGAACAGAGTGTTTAAATAGGTAACTCACAAATGGGTTACAGGTATAGCAGCTTGTGTAGAACCAAACAGGTGATCTACCTGTATAGCGGACTACTTAAATTAGACAATAACTAAAGTTATACATGTAGCAGGTTGTACACTCTTCATATAATTACAAACTGTAGGGGATTGTCAACAGATGATCTCATATATTAAACTAATAAAATCCGCTCAGCAAAGTAGGCTGCCTTAATTAAAAAAAAAAAAAAAAAAAAAAAAAAAATATATATATATATATATATATAAACTGCTCATATCCTAAACCTTACTGTTGTAAATAGCCTTTCTAAAATTAATGAATTAACTAAGAAGGCATAAGAATTTACAAGCTATATTCATTGCTCTCAATTATATTTAGAATAATTAAAAAAAAACTTTAAAGCAAAAGGCAAATAATTTCTAGTATCTGACTTTGATTACAAAACTAGTTGGAATTTACTGTACTTGATATTAAATAAATTATGTAAAATTAAAAAAGTAATAGATAAATTAGTAGATTCAAATTTATAACTTCAACTCTAATATATAAATAAACATGATTAGAATAATATTAAGGATATAATAAAACTATTAGAACCTATCTATGAAGCTATTAACTTACTTTTCTCATTAAGCTACCTAATTATCAGAAACATATGCATAGCTTTCTTTATAATTATCATACTTCTTACCAGAACACAAAATAATGAAATAAATTTAGTAAAATTGTATATCTCTAAGAAAAACTCAATAAGTATTAGAATGAATTACAGTTTTCTTTTCAGAAACTATATTGCTTGATCCATCATCAAAATTTTCTACTTTTAGTTCTAGTTCTGAAAAAGAAAAAGTGTATCAGATAATTCATAAAATATATAAACATTATATATCCCATTTACATATTACTAGTGAACAAATTTTAAAATCTAACTAGTTAATTGCTACTTATAACTACTTCTGAATTCAGTTAAAATAAACTTATGATGATATATCATTTAGTGATAATATAAATACATTAGATGAATACTAGAGTATACCTAATGAAAATGTCAATGCTCTCATATTTTGGAAATCTAAATCACTAATCTTACTATGATTACCTCACGTTAAAATAGCCCAAGACTACCTTAACAAATGTTCTGAGTGAACAGATCTTCTCAATTGCAAAACGTATGTTAAATGAAGTAAGAAACTGTCTAGATGATGAAAAAGTACATGCAAGCATGTATTTGAAAACATGGTATGATTCAAAGCTAGTAAAAAATAATATAAAGCTTTTTTTAGATTAGTATAACACTGTAATTGTATACGTAT